CTCTCTCTCTCTCTCTCTCTCTCTCTCTCGTTTTAATGTTATTTCTAATGTAGTTATTTGTTAATTTTAATATTGTTACCTAATTTTTTAAATTTAATTATGCTTTAAATTATATTAAATTATAGTATTTTAGAATTCATTAAAGGCATTGGTGCGAGCGGTATAATAATAGGCATAGTCATTTATTATATAACACGTTTCTACACCAATCGCTATAATTACCCACCTGGTCCATTTCCATTGCCACTAGTTGGAAACGTACTCAGTAGGTTACTTAATAATTCTATTTAAAAAATTAATTAATTACGTTTAATTAAAATGAATTAATTCAATATTTTTCAGTGTTTCGTAATTCCAAAAAGCACTTTGCGGTGGAAATGATAAAAGTGAGCAAGATCTATGGCCCACTGTTTACCCTATGGGTCGGACCATTGCCTTTCGTGTTTATATGCGACCTGGATATAGCTCGCGAGTCGTTCAACAAGATTGATTTTACCGGACGCCCTCTTTCACAATTTGGTAGTTAGTTAATTGTTTATTAATTAAATTAATAGAAACTTAAAATTCAATGATTGCAATTTTACATAATAATTAAATAAACAAATTACTTATATTAATTGATAAATATTAATGTTAATAAACATAATTAAACAAGGTAATACTGATGGTATTTATTTTTATTAAAGGTAACATATTTTGTAATGAGAGGCATAAAGACGTTGTTTACAACGATTACAGTAAGAGTTGGGAAAGTCTACGAAAAGTATCGCATACAGCAATACAGTAAGCACTTTCAATAATAAACAAAATTGTGCATGATATTACGATTTCATATAAATTAATGCTATTACCAGTTATTATTAGAAAGATAGTGCATAAAAGGGAAAAAAGTAAAAGACATAACATACTGTATAATATATAACCAAAATATTGCAAATTGAAATATCTAGTTATTGAGGAATATCAATATTTAAATTTTCCTGGCTAAAACTTGATATTTCAATTTACGATATTTAAGATTTAGAATGAAGTTTTACAACAGCTAACATAATTAGCATTTAACGTAGTATTAAATAATATAGTTAGTCATATTTAAATCTAATTTTATTGAAAAAATTTGCAAAGGTTTATTAGGCTGCTGTGTTAATTCCAGCAATCCGATGATGGTGGTTCTAAGCTATTATTACACGTTGACATCCCCTCTTCTGAATAGCATATCCGCCTCTCTCCGACACCCATTTCAATTGGGATAATACCATGACATTTCGAAATGACCCAAAAATTTCTCTGTTCTAGTCACGTGGTTTCAATAGAGTTTTATACAAAAATACTAGATATATCGAACATCATTATGCACTTTACAGATTTGATCTAGCTCATTTCGTTTAGGAGATATACATTGATGAATTTGTGAATCACTAAGGACCTTTTGTTTCTAATGTTTTCTAATGTGAATATATTATATATATTCACTGTATAGTATGTATTGGTCAGATCAGCGTCAGATCAATTTTATTGCTATGTAATTTATACTCTATTCATGTCTTACTCATATAATAGGTTATAAATTATCAAGGTAATACAGTAACCATGTCAAGTTATAAATAGCTTCGCCCCAATCATACTGTATAGCATAAACTACTAATATAATAATAAAATCTTTAACAATAACATTTTTAAAAACAATTAACTGATTTTTAACTACTCGTAAAATAATTGTTAAAAATAATACATGATAAAATTAACAGAAAGTATGCCAAAACGAAGGCCTTGTCTGAATTGGTGGACGAAAACGTGTGTCAAATGGTGCGACGGATTATAGACGATAATGAGGGTATGGGTCGACCGTTTTCGCTGCACGACTCCATGTATAATGTGTTCGCAAATATTTTAGCCTCAATCGTGTTTAGCGAAAAGTAAATAACCTTGCTACATAATAATTAAACTGTAGAGTATATTTATACATATAGATAATGCAAATATTAATATTACAATGGTGTATTAATTATAGATTGGACAGTGAACAGGCTGAATTGAAAATGGTTAAATATATCACGTCTGGCTTTCAAACTGATCTTGGAAACACATTATTTCTATACGAGTTTATACCGGTGTTGCGCTACTTTATGGTCAACCCTTTGATCAAATATAAGCGATATTTTAATCTTCTCATGAATTATACGCGAAATATATACCAAAAACACGACCAAACATATGATGCGAATTGTTTGCGAGACTTTTGCGATATACTTATCGCCGCCAAACACGAGGCCATAGCCGATGACAAACGAACGGCACCCTATTTTACCGATGATAACCTGCCCGCCGTACTCATTGATCTGTTTATAGGTATTTATAATTATTATGTTTGCAATATCAGCACAATTTTTGATAAGAAATCTCATTATTTTGTATACATACCGTAAAAATTTTGGTAGAATGATAGGTTTGATCTGCAGTTTTTCCCTCAATACACCATTTATTGGGAATTGCAATGACATACAGTATAACCTCAGTACACATGCCGTTTTATAATTAATACTTTGAAATTTAAAAAATGTTTTTTTTATACAGTTGGAGACAGTTAAGACTATTAACAACATGTAAAGAAAATAAAAGAATAAAGTTCTGTGTTAAAGGGTAAAATTCCAAAAAGGACTATGCCCATTCGTGTAATATAATGCACTTGGGAATTATTGTTATAAAATGTAAGTACATTCAATAAATAGTCGAGTGATATATCTTATATGTTCATATGCTTTCGGGTCTGGCCGTAGTGACCACTTTTATCGGTAAAATTTTGAAAATTAAATTATTTATTTTATAACTAAGTATATTATATTATATATAAATAGAAAGGAATGGATGAGTAGAATCGAAATCCGAAAAAATTTCCCAAGTTTGACATAATTGGTAAAGGTTATATAAAAATGTTAAAATTTTGTAAATGTTATTCACGTGTTCTATAGTGAATAACGTAATAACTGTACATAATTTATATCAATTTCAATTATGCTTACAACGATAATTAATTTCGCAAATTACAAAAACAAAATTTTTAAATATAAAAGGAGTTTGCGCAAAAATAATGGAGAAAATGCCAAAATCTGTGCATTTATAATTTTGACCAATTTTTATTTTAGTAATTTAATCATTTATGTAAATGCAATTAAAATTGATGTGAAAGGAGTAAAATAATTATGCCACTCATCATAAAAACGAATACAATTGTCAAGGAATTTTTAATTTTTTAATTAAGTTCGAATTTTATAATTATTTTAGAATATTATTTTTCTTATCCGTACCTTTCTATTGATATATAATATAATATACTTAGTTATATTACACGAATGGGCATAGTCCTTTTTAGCATTTTACCCATTAACACTGAACTTTATCCTTTTATTTTCTGTACATGTTGTTACTAGTCTTAATTGTCTCCAACTGTATAAAACACATTTTTTACATTTCAAAGTATTAATTATTATAAATCAATATAAAACGGCATGTGTACTGAGGTTATACTGTATGTCATTGCAATCCCCAATAAATGGTGTAATGAGGGAAAAACTGCAGATCAAGCCAATCATTCTACCAACATTTTTACGGTATAATGTTAATTATCAAGATACACATTTATATAAATATGATAGATGTATAGATAGATTGCATTTTAGTTTAACATTAATCAATATTTGGTATGGTAATTATTTTAACCAACAATAAAAACAGCTGGCATTGAAACAAGTCATACAACATTTCAATGGATTCTGTTGTATATAGCCTATTACCCGAATTACCAGGATAAGTTGCGCGCAGAGATAAGCCGAGAGATTGGCGATCGGGTGCCGGTAGTGGAGGACAAGTGCCGCTTAAACTACACGATGGCCTTTATATCGGAAATATTACGGCACAGAAATCCGTTACCAATAGGACTGTTTCATAATACTATGGTTAACACCAAATTGGGTAAGAATTATTGATATAAGTTATATTGATTTTTATACCCTACCACAAAACACAATTTAATTTCAGCTGGTCAATCTATACCTGAAAACACCAAGATCGTATTGAATCAGTACTCTATTTTGACCGATCCAAAGCATTGGGAAAATGCCGATGTGTTTAAGCCAGAAAGATTTTTGGATAATCGAAGTGAATTTGTACGTACAAAACCCGCGGCTTATATACCGTTCAGTTACGGTCGTCGTATATGTCCCGGCGAAACGTTGGCTATCAATGTCATATTTTTGGTCTTGGTCAGATTACTACAGTTGACTAACGATTATCGCATTGAGCTTTATAACGAGCCAAATGGTCGTGAGAACAATCTTGATCAGCTCGAGCCCCACGCGGTTAATGTTTGGCTACAGTTTCCCAAACCATTTAAAATATTAATTAGCCGTAAATAATGCAATAAGCTCGCTTTAATAGTATTTATTATATTATTGAACATAATGCAAAATTATTGCAAATTAACTTTTATATACTATTTTAAAATCAAAAATTATTTATTATTAATATAATCACTTAATTGAATTAATGTAAATCATTTGTTTATTATGCAATTCTTTTAATAGACTACCTTCAACAATTAAAAACTAATAGTACTCAATAATCTATACAAAATGAAATGTTGGGTGAATACAAATTGAACATTAATAATAAAAATTATTATTATTTATTATAAAGATAAACTAATCAGTGATATAAATATTAAATTAATAATGTAATTATTTGTAAATGTTATTTAATAATTTGTTATTTGTTTATTACATTATATAATTTGTTTTAGAATATGATTTTGCAAATTTGTCCTTTACAATTATCTTGGATTAACCATCTGTCCACATTCTTAAATTAGTCCCGCGAAGAACATTCTCCCGAAATAAGTCTCGGAGTTGCAGAGCATCTAATTTATAGGATAGTCGAGATGGCAGCAGTGAGGGGATAAGGGAGAGTTACTATAAGTGTGTGTAATGAACTGATTTCTACTGTGAAGACGCAATGAATAGAGGAGCTTGCGCACTAGTTAGCAATTACAACTATGGCCTTCTTCACAAATACTTTCCCAGTGTTATAATGCATTGTATGTTAAGGCATTTCCTATGCATGCTATGGTGCGAGAATGTGTAGTGTATTTACTGTTCAGTATACACGTAGCTATGGTTTTAAAAACATTTTTATAACAAACAATGATACATAAACATCGTTAAGATATTACTAATTTATTTACTAAAACCCAATATTGTTATTTAAATAGAAATATAATGTTATTTTACAGCAAAATAGTTGTACTTTTTTTTTACAAAATCATAGTTTAGCCGTTGTTTGGTTTAGCCATTGTATGATTGAGCGGTTGTATGGTTTAGTCGTCGTATGGTTTAGCCATTGTTTGGTTTAACCATTGTATGGTTGAGCGGTTGTATGGTTTAGTCGTCGTATGATTTAGCCGTTGAATGCATTGTTGTCTCCGATTATATAATTTTAAATCAGTATATAATTAAATACCCATAAGTCCTATTTAAATAGGACTTATGGGTAATCTACTTATTAAATACCGTAATTATCTTTAGGGTCTGTTCTTTCAACGAGTCGAGATATGACGTAATTTGTTTTACAATTATTTTTGAATATTTGAAACAGTTTTTTTTAAGAAATACAACAAATTAATTAAAAACATTTGGTTTTAATTAAAAAAGAAAATAGAATACAAATAAAATACTATTTGTAAAACAAAATGAAAAGCACATTCAAATGAAACAAAAAACAAAATGTGATAACAATTTAGATATAAAATAACAAATGAAATGTTGGCTTGAATTGATATTCAAAATCTATAGATAGAGACGGCTATTGACACCACAATCACCGCCAATAATACTGGCACAGGAGTGAACAGACATTGAGAGTCGGCACCGGAGGCCAACTCCTCCACACGTTTCTGACAGTCGGAGCTCATATCACTCATGCCGTTCAGACCTTTGCAATACTTTTCATCCAATTACTGGCCATTTAATACAGCATTACACGAGACCATCATATCCTGTATAACGTATTTGCTATCAATTTTAGTCCACTTGTTGTTAATCTAACCCACCGTTCAATCCAGTGAGCAATAATTACCACATATTAATACATAGAATGACGGCATATGAGGGGAAAGTACATACCTGTGCCTTAACGCTGCCATAGGTTTTATAGAGAAAACAACAACTTATATCTGTGGATAATTCCATCATATACTGAAGCGCATGCTCCATACTCAGACCTCAAGCACTGCAACTCATACAATGCATTCATAGCATTCAATGAGCTAAATCCAAGGGAGATAACTCTCCATGTAGGCTATGCTCGTTCCTATCGATGTGCGCGCCGCCTGGTATTTGAGTTATTTGAACCCTTTATATGCTTTTAACGTGCAATTCATTAAGTTTATACACATAAGCCAACAAATAGTGCGTGAAAATGGGCAGTCAGTAAGTGGTGGCGCGTCGAAATCTGCTATATAGTTGAAAAGCACTGATTTGTTAAGCGTTCAAAAAGTTGCACGTTTCACCTTCTGGGAGAGTTTTTGAAGTGACCTCTCTTTGAAAATCCACTGCTCGGACACCAGACATGATAATCACATTTTGATTAATTCAATATTTACTCAAATGTTTGGTNCAAAAAGTTGCACGTTTCACCTTCTGGGAGAGTTTTTGAAGTGACCTCTCTTTGAAAATCCACTGCTCGGACACCAGACATGATAATCACATTTTGATTAATTCAATATTTACTCAAATGTTTGGTTAAGGCTATGCTGAAATTTTTTAACACTGACATTAACCGCTGATTTTAGCCAACAGTTTTAAACTCACTCCGAGACTTTTCTCGTAAGAATGTCTACGAATGGTTAAAATAATTTAAGATTAAATTTGTGATATAAATGAAATGAAAATCAATAGTTGCCAAAAATGATGGCTGATATATAATTACTATTTTGGTTATTAAAAAAGAAGAATTTTCATTTTACTCTGAGATTTTCCCATTACTTTCCTTCCAACCCAATATTAGGATTGTCATAGATTTATATATACCTGTTTATGTCACAATTAATTAATCTTAAAGAAATACACCAGGAATGCTTTTGCTTTTTAATGGCACAAAAAACATGAAGATCTTTCAAATATGACGTTTTATTAACACTACTCTCACTTAGCGTTGCCAAATGATTTTTTAAAAATCCTGTATAAATGTGAAAAATTTGCTGAAAATTCCTGTATTTTCCGATATCACAAATTTTTCTCTTTGTATCTTTTAATGAAATTTATGTTTAATGGGGGTTTGTTCAACGGACTCATTATTAATACAGGATTTTGTTTATTAATACATTGTATCAGTTAAAGTTTCACATTAAACTAAATTCAATCATTAAAAACAAAAATTAAACGTTGTTTTGAAACGAATTTCAGCAATATGCCGAGACAGTGTATCAAGGGTTAATCAAAACTACTAAATTTAAAACTCATTTTAGAAATATTTATTCCTGTATTTTTCAATGTACAGGAATTACCCCTTCCTGTATTCTGCAAAAATTCCTCAA